ACATGATTGCTTACAGCAACCAATTTCTTGGTTATAAGCAAGCATTTAACTGAATTAAAGCAATTAATTCAGGTTTTTTTGTTGTGATTAGCTGCAATTGGCCACAGCTAATCATGACACAGATGGGTTGTGATTGGTGCAGTCTGTACCATTTGATTACTGCAACCAATCTCAGCTAGTGACACAGTTGTATACAATGGATGGCATAAAAGGAAACCATCAAGTTTTTACAGTTGTCCTGTGACCCGCTGTGATTGGTCTCAGTGATCACATGGTACTCGCAATGGAGAACGGTGAGGGGGAGGGGTTGTTCCTTTTAAACCTGAGGTGTGTGGTAAAAAAAACAATACCTACTTAATGTAAAAAATGCTTGATGAACGCAAAAAGTATGCAAGATGTACTGTGGTTCTCCTGAAGAGAAGGAGCCTCTATTCCTGGCCTCCTTACATGTGCAAGGTGTTCTTGACCCATATAGCCAAAGCCAGAGTCTGTTCTGGAGATAGTTATTATTATTATACAGTATTTATATAGCACCAAAGGGTATGCTCAGCACTGTACAATAGCGAGGGGGACAGAACATGAGACAAGACAGAAACAATACAATACACGAGGAGTTCGAGGGCCCTGCTCTTCTGAGCTTACAATCTAGAAGCTCGTTGAAGCTTCCTTTCTAGGAAGCAACATGAGGCAGGAAAGACCCTAATGAACACATATCCTCCCACTAGACTGTAAGGTAGAGCCTCCAAAAACTTCACTCTTTTATTATAATAATACAACACATAAGCAAAAAAGATGAGAACTAAGTATACGTGGAAAATGCAATGACGATGCTCTGGCCTTTCAGACAGTTTAGAAGAATTTCATCAACTTATAAATTCTTCCCAATTTAGCCAAAAGTTCTAGGTCCAGAAATAAGTGCTCACAAAAGCATTTGGTTCCATCAGAAAAAAGTGTCCCATGCACCCCTGGGTTTTCTTTTTAGGGATACACATGCATTGAAGGCAGGGATCCTGCCAATTAAAGGGCAAATACGAATCTAGCTGATCCCCATGACTAGACCAAGTTGAGCTTTCTTCCTTTCAGGAGTAGAGGATATCTTAGAGCTTCTATCATAATACATAGAATAATATGTAACCTTAGTGGAACCAGCTAATGGTTATTTTTTCCCAATGATACCACAGAAAATACACTTGGTTTTAGCCAGAGGCCAAAAAGTGATAATAGCAAGCAAAGATCCAGATTGATGTGGAAATAATTGGAAAGTTTGTATTCTCCAAGAGGGGATAACAAGCAACTGTGAAGTCTCCATGTGCACCGCTGTCACCATCTGGCAAGATTCATGGCGGGTCCCAGGACTAAAATGACTCATTCAAGCATGGACCTATTTTGCAGATAATCTTTTGTAATTGTATTGGTTTTCTTTCACTTAAATATACACTACAGTCAAAAATTTAAATTAGTCTTTGAAATGCATACAGTGGATACAACCTACGTGTCTGATGCTTTTTCATTTAATACAGGTATAGAAGTAGTGCAATGGGCCACCCCATTTTATGAAATCAACTTGGTGCCGTGAATCTGAGTTCTGAGAACACCATCTGTTAAACCATATGAATATTTGGGTAAGTATTCCCAATCCCTGCTACTGTAGGCTCTTTGCTGTCTTGCAAACAGAAAATACAGGAGGTACGCACAGCTCAAAACCATGGGACATGCTCAGCAGGACATATAATTTGCAGAGAAAATTATTTGAGAAGATTACATGAATCTCAGATTAAAGTAAACTAAATGGACCTTAAGACTTAGCAGAGTTGCAGTTTCTCCTACATGGTTTTAATAGCTTTTTGCCTGGAGTCACTTTTTATTTTTTATTGACTTTACAGGAATCTGTTCAAGCTGTATTCATTTTCATTGTGGCCATCCTCCTTTAAATTGATGCTGAATTATCAGTCGCTTGGGTAAATTCCCCTTAACGATACATTCTGCTTAACCAAAGCCTTTGGGGCTTAGCTGTCCATAATATACATCATCCGCCAGTCCTCAAGCACCAGCCACGAGTCAAAGATTCTTCTCAAGGTCATGTTCCGGATGCAATGCTTTGTGCCAGAAATACTTTCTTTTTAATTTTGGCCCATTGCATCTTATAAGATTGCTTTAATTTTTGCTAAATTAAATGATAGAAAATGTGTCCCTGTAAAGCACTATGAAAAGAATTACTTTAGATTTATTCTGCTCATTGATCAGACAGAGCATGTAAGTTCTTTTGATAACAGCTGCAAAGCTTCCTTCTAATTAGTTTTTGCTACAAAATAGCGTTTATGGTAATTATGGGGGTGATCACTGCAGCAAGGTTTGTGGTAACAGGTACCATATGGAATAGCCCATCAGGCTGCAGTTATTCAGAAGAGGATGTATAGTAAGCACAGGGAGTACAGCAAAAAAAAAAAAAAGCTGATGGTATTAAAAAGTCATATCAAGCCAGGATATTAACATCAAGTGAAATATCCTTTTTTCAGGTCACATAGACATACCTTATTAAATAAAATATTGCACTGTGTATAATAATATACACTTCATTTGTCAAACATATACACTATGAAGTTCCTCATACCTATGAAAAGTGATAAAATTAGTGAAAAATAAATATAGTGACAGAAAATAGAAAATTAACTTATCATACATAATCACTATGAAATTACATATGCCAAAGAAAAGTGTGATCAAATCAGCAGAAAACGAACAAACAGTGACGTATAGTCCAATACAGTCCGTGTGGATATAAAGTTTTTCACGACCAATAGTAAAGCCGTATTTCAATACTGTGAATATAATATTGATGTCGTAGATTCTAATTCTCCAAATATTTGCCATGTGCACCGCCAGCAAATAAATGAATGGAGGCTTGCCACGGTTACATCACCAGCGGAAAAACAGTAATTGTAAGTAAAAGCAAAAAAAAAAAAACTTGTTTAGCCAATGAGTGTAAGGAGATTTAGTATCAGTATGAAGAGCTGCATGCTGATGTGATTGAAAAGCTCCATTCACACTTGTTCAACTTGTCATGTGACTTTGGACACATTAAGTTGTACGATTTTAATGCGACTTGGTGCTATGGAGTGTAAAGTTGGATCAAAAGGCGCATCAAAGTTGCATTCCAAAGATGCACTGGAAATCATGTGTCTTTGGGGTCAGACAAGTGTAAATGGAGCCTTAGTGAAAGTAGGCAAAGGATCACCCAAACCTATTCCATAAAGTAAGCGTTTAACACTTTGCACCTGCAATTCTATCCCCCCGCTGTGCTATTGTATATTGTATTCAGACAGATGCCCTTATATATATATATATATATATATATATATATATATATATATATATATATACTGAATACATATACTATATATATATACTGATATATATATATATATATATATATATATATATTGTGACAGTAGGCAGGTGAAATCACCTGGTTGCGTCCTGGATGGAGGATACATTTGTCCAAGGTTCAGATTCTATGGGGATTTGTTCCACTAGAGGGAAGTGCTGAGTCCTTCAGCACTGAGGTAATGAGCCCAGCTGATGGTATTGGGCTCATTAAGGCTGTTCTAAAACTTCCCAGCTTGCTTAGGGAATTGCTCCAACCTGGAACCAGATCTATGCCTGAACTGACTGGGGAGCAACATCCTATCTGTGTGCAGGGAGACAAAAGCCTGTGTGGCTAGCCTCCAACTATAGGTATAGCATCAGGCTGTACCTAATGGATATCTAAGGAAGCTATTTTTACAGTAAGTAGCCACGTTGGCCAGGATTTGATTTGATGTTTTCTTTTAGGTTTGACGTTTTTCTGTAAATATTGTAAATAAACTGCACCTTTCTGTTTTTCACCTCCACTGTTGTTGTGCTGTGCCTGTGTTTTGTGTTTTGCACCCATCCAGGGGGTCACACACACCCACTGCCGGGCGAACCCCGTTACAATAAATATATATATATACTGTATATATATATATACACTATATTGCCAAAAGTATTGGGACGCATGCCTTTACACGCACATGAACTTTATTGGCTTCCCAGTCTTAGTCCACAATGTTTTGGCTTCATTTATGTCATTGACCTGGAACAAGCATAGATTTTTATACTTGATTAGATTTTTTTACTTTAATTCACAGCATGCTTTCCCAAGGTCTATCACCAAACAAAGCCAGGCAATTGCATTTTGAGAAGGAGGTCAATAAAGGCAACCCTCATATTTCTTTAAACTGAACCTAAAGAACAAACATGCAATACATAGCTGTGCACACGTATGCTTGTGTATACATACACTATATTGCCAAAAGCATGCCTTTATATGCACATGAATTTTAATGGCACCCCAGTCTTAGACCATAGGGTTCAATATTGAGTTGGCCCCGCCCTTTTCAGCTATAACAGCTTCAACTCTTCTGGGAAGGCTGTCCACAAGGTTTAGGAGTGTGTCTATGGGAATGGTTGACCATTCTTCCAAAAGCGCATTTGTGAGGTCAGGCACTGATGTCGGACGAGAAGGCCTGGCTCACAGTCTCCGCTCTAATTTATTCCAAAGGTGTTCTATCGGGTTGAAGTTAGAACACACTTTGTGCAGGCCAGTCAAGTTCTTCCATCCCAAACTCACTTATCCATGTCTTTATGGACCTTGCTTTGTGCACTGGTGCACAGTCATGTTGGAAAAGGAAGGGACCATCCCCAAACTGTTCCCAGAAAGCTGGCAGCATGAAATTGTCCAAAATGTCTTGGCATGCTGACGCCTTAAGAGTTTCTGTCACTGGAACTAAGGGGCCAAGCCCAACCCCTGAATAGCAAGCTCATACCATAACCCCCCCCCCCTCCACCAAATGTTACACTGCGCACAATGCAGACAGGCAAGTACCATTCTCTTGGAAACTGCCAAACCCAGACACGTCCACCAGATTGCCAGGCAGATTAGTGTGATTCATCACTCCAGAGAACACATCTCCACTGTTCTAGAGTCCAGCATGCTTTACACCACTGCATCAAATGCTTTGCATTGTACTTAGTGTTGTAAGGCTTGGATGCAGCTGCTCGGCCATGGAAACCCATTCCATGAAGCTCTCTGTTGTTGTTCTAATCTGAAGGTCACATAACGTTTGGAGGTCTTTAGCTATTGGCACTGCAGACACTTGGAGACTTCTGCAGACTGTGCACTTCAGCATGCACTGACCCCGCTCTCTCATTTTACGTGGCCTACCACTTTGTGGCTGAGTTGCTGTTGTTCCCAGTTGCTTCCACTTTGTTATAATACCACTAACAGTTGACCGTAGAATATTTAGTAGCAAGGAAATTCCATGGATGGACTTATTGCACAGGTGACAACCTATCATGGTACCACGCTTGAATTCACTGAGCTCCTGAGAGTGACCCATTCTTTCACAAATGTTTGTAGAAGCAGTCTGCATGCCTAGGTGCTTGACTTTATACACCTGTGGCCATGGAGGTGATTAGATAGATAGATAGATAGATAGATAGATAGATAGATAGATAGATAGATAGATAGATTTCTAACAATATAAAGGTGCAGGAACTGCCACTTTATAGCTCAATTATAACTAAATTAAGTTATAAGGTGATTAAAATATATTTCATACAACTGACCAGTCTACCTTTAGCCTCAGATCCTTGTCTATTTGTTTCTTCTCATTCTGTCACCTGTTCTGCTTAACAGGATCATATCTTCTAAAGCTATAAAAGCCACTGCAGTTGATAAACTGGTCTGTGAAAATTCAGAGACTGGGTTTTCGTTAGCAGCTGTAATGCTCTTGGCAAGCAGGGTGAATGAAGCCTTACAATCTATAGCTGGTTCCCTACCAATAACATAGGAAATACATCCAAAATACAAGATCAGTTATAATGATAATTTGAAAGCCTGTATTTTGGCTGTTTATAGGAAAATGGCTGTTGCTTATGATACATAAACACCATCCACTTAGAGTTTAGATTTACTTTATAACTCTCCCGCATCTGATACCTCTTTTATATCTTCTCTCTAAAAAACCTTCTGAAGCCTTTTTTACACTCACCTTGCTCTGCCGCCTGTGTTCCTTTCTAGGACTGATGACCAAGTAGGTCCAGGGCTAACGCCTCTGCTCATGCCAGCTGGTGTAGTTGTGTGACATCTTCACACAACTGCAATCTTCTGAATCCTGAAAGTACCCTGCCACTGGACAGTCAGTAGGAAAAGTCCATGTAACCCAGTGTCATGGACACAGAAGATGGACCCTCCTCTGCAGTAAAGAAGATAACAGACTCCGGACGCAACTGTCACATGAATTTAATTTAGCACATAGGGGGACCTAGTTTTTTTTTTTTAGTTAGAGGCTGAATAGCAGCCTGGTGGAATAGTCAGAGGGGTAAAATTTTGGTCATGGCTGAAAGGCTCTGTGGATCAGCTTTCTGTCACCTCCCCCTGATCTAGATACTTGGAAAAGTCTCTAGAATTCAGTGGGTGGGGGTGAGTAATGGCTGGTCTGCACTCTAAAGGGATCCTGGCCAATCCCCAATGGGGTCAGGACAGTCCTTAAGAGTGACCAAGCCTGCTCAGCAGCAGAAGAGTTCGGGTGGAAGATGAACTGAGCAGGTTTGGAGTGTGGAGACTGGGAGGGGGTCCAGAAGAGGGACCTACCTACAGGCAAAGGAGCTGGAAGGGAAGATCTCTCAGGCTCACCATCCCCTGAAAGAGGACAGCCTGGAAAACAGGGAAGAAGCCAATCCAGCATAAGACATGAGGGCAGCCACCAACACACAAGTTGGCAGGAAAGACTGAGTGAGTAATCCCACAACCCCTAGGCCAGATAAGGGGAAAGGGCATTTAGGTGGGAAACCTGACTAGCCCCATCTGGGTCTGCTTTCATTTAAGGTGGCAGCTTTTTGGACCTCTTGGCCAGGGATTCCCTGAGGCTGCTGGGGTCTGAGGAGGTACACAAGGAGAGGTTGGCTAGCTCCAAGCAGATAAAACCCTTTCTGACTACTTGTACATACAGTAGTTCTAGGAACTTGTCCTCTCAGTTTTACAGTTCCTTGGGCATCCCAAGTATCCCTCATCCCCATTCAAGTTATAATCCCCTAATAAAATCCCCAAAAAAAAACAAGTTTAAGGACTGTTTACTGTCTCTGGAGTGCATGTCTGGAAGGAAATGCGTGTTGCCTGGCAGTGCAGGACTATAAAGGGATCAAAATCTCTAGCGACTAAGGGGGTAGTGCTACACTGGTGGTCAAAATTGTGGATACACCTTCTGATTTTGTCAGTTTTGGTTGATATCTTTACTTACTCCCTTGCTTTTTCCTTCTAGACATTAGCTATTCTATGCAAATGGTAAGCAAAATATTTTTGACAACATATGATGCAAGTTTTGAGTTAATTTGAGCAGATTTACTGAAAATTATCAACAGAAAGCTAGCTGGTGAAAATGTGAGGAAATATTGTCAATTTTCATTTGTATATTATTGTGTATATGTTATAGTATTTGGTCAGAATAAAGCATTATGTTGCATAACAGAGATTTAGTTGCAATGCCTGCAATTTTATATAGAGCTTAGGTAACTATTTTCCATTTTATGTATTTTTTAAATTATATTAGAATAATTAAATAAATTAAAATAATATTGTGCTGTTTAGACCTAAAATGTACTTAAATAACTATATTTGTAGAAATTAATGATGCCATCAATTAAAAGGTCAGATTTGTCACCAAAGAAAAGAGCAACAACAATAACATTAAGAAATGAAGGTTATAGTTTTCGCGAAATTGCCAGGAAAATGGGTCAAGGAGTTCCTGCATCCGGAGTCCAGAAGCTGTGTGCATGATTTACGAACACCAAAAGTATCTAAACACAGCAAGGGGCAGGAAGGAAAAAAGCTACAACACCCAAAACTGACATAAGAATTGCAAGACTTGCTTTGCAGAATAGAAAATCCTCTGCCAAGGATATCAACAAGGTGTTGTCAGATGGAGGACTGTCAGGGGTTTATTTACTAAAGCTGGAGAGTCCAAAATCAGACTCCCTTCTGCATAGAAACCAATCAGCTTCCAGGTTTCATTGCCAAAGCTTCATTGAACAAGCTGAGGTTAGAAGCTGATTGGTTTCTATGCAGAAGGGAGTCTGATTTTGGACTCTCCAGCTTTAGTAAATAAACCCCTCAGTGTCTGACCAAACAGAAAGAAGTCGACTTGTTGCTGCTGGATTAAGAGCTCGAATACCAAGAAAAAAAACATTTTTGAACTGCCAACAAAGAAAAGGGGTCGAATGGGTCAAACACATCAAAATTGGACAACAGAAGATTGGGAAAAATTATTTGGAGTGATGAAACACGAATTTCTATTTTCGGAAGCGATGGTGTTCGATACATGCGAAGAAGGTCAGGCAAAGAATGCCTTCCTGAGGTATGACAGCAACAAGGAAACACCCTTAAAGTGTCATGATATGGAGCTGCATGTCTTGGTATGGTGTTGGATGAATGCAGGTTATTGATGGCATTATTCATGCAGAGTGATACATCAAAGACGTCCTGGAACCAAAGTTGATCCCATCAATAAGAGACTTAGCGAACAAAGGCACAAAATTTACTTTTCAACAGGATGGAGCTGCATGCCGTACAGCTCGTAAATGCCTTAAATGGTTCAATAACAAGAAAATTCCTCTGCTTCCCTAGCCTGGAAATAGCCCTGACTTGAATCCCATCAAAAATCTGTGGTCAAGATTGAAACGCATGGTCTCGCGCAAGAATCCAAGCAACAAGCGAGGACTCATTGAGGCTATAATCAATTCCTGGCATCATTTGATCACAGAAGAGGATGTCAAAAGACTTGTAGATTCAATGCCTAGAAGGTGTCAGGCAGTAGTTAAGGCCAAAGGCTACCCAACACGTTATTGAAAAAAACACATTGTGACAAACTTGAAATTATCATTTTTATGCTATATAATAGCCAAGATGCATTATGGTACATTTCCAGCCAAAATTTAACTTATTTAAAGATTTTTTTTTTGTTAAGGCATCCATTTACTATATTAAAAATTTTACTTTTGCTATGGCATTTTTAGAGATTTTTATCTAAAAAAATACTTTAAACTGAAAGTTTGTAAAAATGTAAGGTGTATCCACAATTTTGGCCACTAGTGTACATTAGGTATGGAAATGGGCATTTACAGTATATTCATTTTTACACTGACTATTAGTTGAGGGAATGGGGGGGGGGCAAAGGATGGTAGAGACAGAAAGCGCTCAGAGACCAGCTTCAAAACTGACCTCCAGGAAAACTGCTTAATACACAAAATTGATACAACTGTTACTGAACAATGAGGCTAAAGGAACACATTGATGAGCTCATCTTCTTGACACTCTCCTCTCTCCTCCAGTTCCTTGTTAGTCCAAAATCATTGCAACACAACTAATAGGCGTCTTGTGTTGCTTCCCATATACAGAAGTAATGTTTTTTGATTTATCTGGAATTCATCTTGATTTTTTGTTTTGACAGAGGTGTGTCTTTTATGAATAGAATATTGTTTTAAACCTTTGTTCTTTAACATAAGATACAGTTACTTTATGTATTATTTTCACACTGAGAAACACTGAATTAATGTAGCAGAATCATAGTATATTGTTTGACTGTAGCAATACCTTTCTACAATATCCTGTAAAATGTTAGTTTATTATGTAGCTCGGTAATTTAACAAGGGATAAAATTCAGGTTCTTTTTTTTCTCCATTCTAATGAGGTCTGTCAATTTCATTCTTTTGTTATATCATTCAAGACTGGACCGGATGGATTTGTACAATATGCTGCTGATGAAAAGTCCTGCAGGGAAAAAAAACTGTGCAGTAATATTTCAAGATACCTACAGTATATACCTGTTAACATCTTTAGACCTTACACCACAATTTAATTTACTACAGTAGCTCAGGGGAAACAAAATAATTTTAGAATGATTGCATGTACAGTATAAGGATTCAATCACTTAAGGGTGGTACAGAAATTGTGTTCATTTAACTAATAAACATAGAAAATATATCCAAATGACCCAACAATATTCATGACTACACAGAAGTTAGTTTCTTAAACAGAGACAAATATTTGACATACTATTATTGATGTAAAAGCTACAATTTAGAGCAGCCTTTCTGAACCTTTTTGACCCAAAGGAATCCTTGAAATCATTTTTAGGTCTCAAAGTACCCCTGCTAAAACCAGACAGTCTCTGAATCTGAAAGGAGGTGATTCGTGGTGAACGAAGTTATGTTCGTGTACCGCCGCTTAAATCCATGCTTGTAACACTGGTGTCGGTGCAGACACCTCACTTGTGAGTTTTATTCATTCATTAAAAATTCGTTATATGTGTGAAACTTGCTGCACCATGATTTTTTCTCTTACCTTTTAAACATGGTCCCAATGGTATGGAGGTAT